CCCCCCCCCCCACACACACACACACACACACACACACACACACACACACACACACCATGCATGAATTTTGTGCATCGGGTCTCTAGTTTTTTATAATTTCCACATTAACCTCATTGATACAAAGACTGGGGCTTCAGAAACTTAGAAGCAGAATTAGGACTTGATGCCGGGGTTTCTGACTCCTGTCTTCCATATGCAATATTCAAACAACTGCCTTCTCCAAGTCATGCCAGAGCTGGCACAGTGCTCTGGGCACAGTCTGTCTACTTTGCTCCAATACTGATCATAAAATCCCCGATAGGCACTGTGTCATAATCACTGCCAAACTGACATTGTTTTAAAACACAGATCTGATTACATCACTGTCAGCTCCAAATCCTTCAGTGGCTTCCTTCCTATAATGAAAATGTTCAAATTACTTAACCTGGCGCTGAAGACCTCCTACAGTTTGATTTCAACAGTTTTGGAACATTGCTTCCCACAACACTCCCAAACTCCAGCCAAAGTGCACCGTCCTCACTCAGTTGTTCTCAAACATTTGCCTGCATTCCTCTGCTCTGCCTTTGAAAATGCCATCTGTGCTTTCTTCCTTTCATTAATTAATTCCAAACATTAATATATCAAAAGTGTGTTGGGAACTGGGCTAGATCTGGGGGAAATCAGTGAATACAGACAGAAAGGATCCATTTCTCAAAGAGCGTAGGGTCTACTGGATTCTTAACGTTTAGGAGAAAATGCCACACTCTGCAAAATAAGCCTTCCCCGATAGTCCCTGTAGAAAGTGATAACTTCCTTCTCTCGACAACCACAGCAGGGTGAGGAACCTCTATTATAGATGTCATCAGAACATGATTGAATTATAGTTATTGAGTCACATGTCTTATCCCTCACCCTAGGTTGTAATCTCCATTTTTGGTAGAGACTCTAAATATTACAATATTTAGTCCTCACGGTACTATGTACTGTAACTCTCATATAATAAGACCTCAATAAATAATATTGAAATAAACAATTTCTCTCAGAGTTTGTGAATATGAGATTGGGGGCAAGAGAGAGCAGCATGTTCCTCTCCCCCACCCCCATTCACACACAGAAAGTGGAGGACAAAGGGAGTACATACTACTCTCTCTCTCTCTCTCTCTCTCTCTCACACACACACACACACACACACACACACACACACACACACACACACACCAGATGGTTAACATAACATTATTTTAGGCAACCGAACTCTCAGCTTATATCCAGGGTCCCATGATACTTGCCTCCGTCCATTTAAAGAGAGTTTCAAGGTCAAAACTAACCCAAGATCTCTGGCCATCAGAATACAAATCTGTTCAATTTGCACATTTTTCTGTGTCAATAAACAGGGAATAGAATTAGCATCTTTTCCATATGGCCTGCTTTCCTGATCCCAGAACCAGGAGGATGCTAAATTCTGGACCATGAATGCAGGCTAGGTTGAATTTTTTTTTAAGAATTAAGAAAATTTATGAACAGTTATATTTACTCTTTTTGGTATACAGTTGTATGAGTTTTGACAAATGCATAGTTGTAGAGCCACAATCAAGATAACAGAACAGTCCTATCACCCCCAAAAGAAATTCCCTTTGACTATTTTTTTTGCAGTCATACTCTCTGCCACTCTTAACCAATCATCTGCTTTCCACCTCTAGTTTTGCTTTTTCTGGACGGTCCTATAAATATAAAAGTACATAGTTGTTTCAGCCTGGCTTCTTTATTTAGTATAATGTATATGAGAGTCATCTGTGTTTTTGTTATGTATCAATAGTTTATTCCTTTTTCTAGATGGGTAGTATTTCATGCATAAATGTGCCATTATTTATTCATTTCCTATTTGAGGAACATCTGGAGTATGTCCTGTTTTTGGCATTTATGATTAAAGCTGCTATACATAAGTTTTTGTGTTGCCATAGGTTTCTATTTTATTCAGGCAAACAGAAGTAGAATTGCCAGGATACATGGTAAGTGAATTTTTAACTTTATAAGAAACTACCGAAATATTTTCCATAATGGCTATTCCATTTTGTATCCCCACTAAGAACATATGAGAGCTCCAGTTGCTTCACATTCTTGCCAACACTTGGTATTGTCAGTTTTTTTAAAACTATTATTTTTTTTTTTGTCTTTGACATTCTAGATATGCAGTGTGGGATAGACTTTTGAAACTTTATTGTTTTAGAACCATAGTATTTCCATAGTAAGCCCACTCAACACTTCCTCCTCCTGTTTTTGTTTTTTTCTTCCACTTGGATGCTTGTATTATCTTTCCCACTAGATTACAGTCATTCGTGTATAAGGAAAAAAAATCTTTGCCATCTTTGTATGTATATGATGCATTGCTGTCCCACCCCAGTGCAGGAATTTGTAACAGGCAAATACATGCGACCGGAAAAAATGCTTCTGCACTTGACACGAATGCATCCAAAATGTAATAGAGCATTGTCTAGTTGTATCAATTGTTGTATATCACAGGAATTTTAATAAAAATATGTACTTTCCTCATTTTCAGGGATATTTCCATTTTTATTTGCTTTTGTGGCTATTTATCTAAGTTGTAGATTTTGCTATTCTTGCTTTACCAAGGAGTAAATTATAAAAATATGGCTTGGATGTTAAAAAATTTGAGTACCAGATTTCTTGTGCTTATATGAAAGATAATATTTTTTCTTATTAGTACTTGAGTAAGAGATTATAACTTATTTATTTTACAAATTAAAATACTAACTTTTATTTTTTTATTGAGCTATAATTAACATATAATATTTATTAGTTTCAGGTATACAGCATAATGATTTATTTGATAGTTATGATATATTACAAAATGATCTCAACAATAAGTCCAATTAACATTTGTAACCACACAGAGTTACACATTATTTTTATATTATGAGGACTTTTAAGATGTACTTTCTTAGCAACTTTCAAATATGCAATAGAATATTATTAACTATAGCCACCATGCTGTACATTACACTTCCAGGACTTATTTTAATTTGGAAGTTTATATAAACCCTCTTCTCCCATTTTGCACCCCAAACATTCTGGTAATCACCAATCTGGTTCCCTATATCTATGAGCCCTCTCTCTCTCTCTCTCTCTCTCTCTCTCTCTCTCTCTCTTTCTTTCTTTACATTCCACATATAAGTGAGATCATGCAGTGTTTGTCTTTCTTTATCTGACTTATTTCTCTCAGCACAATGCCCTCAAGGTCTATCCCTGTTGTCACAAATGGCAAGACTTCCTTCTTTATTGTGGCCGAATAATATTCCAATATATAGACCACATTTTATTTATTAATTCATACATTGATAGACACTTAGGATGCTTCCATGTCTTGGCTATTGTAAATCATGCTGTAGTAAATATGGGAATGCAGGTATCTTTTTGAGTTAGTATTTTTGGGTCCTTCAGATTAATGCCCAGAAATAGACTTATTGAATCATCTAGTAGTTCTATTAAATTTTTTTTAAGAACCTCCATATTATTTCCATAGTAGACGCACCAATTTATATTTACAACAATCAGGGTACCCTTCACATCCTTGTCAACACTTGTTAGCTCTCATTTTTTTATAATAGCCATTTTAATAGGCGCGAAATGATATCTCATTGTGGTTTTGATTTGCATTTCTCTTATGACTAGTGCAATTGAACACATTTTCATGTGCCTTCTGGCCACCTGAATGTCTTTTTTGGAAAAATGTCTATTCCGTTATTCTGACCAGTTTTAAAATTGAATTGTTTGTTTTTTGCCACTCACCTGCATTTCAATATGCTATTTAGGTAAAAGACAAAAAGTTGGAGTTACAGAGGGACACTCCTGTAAACATCATTTATCAAGTGAGCTGGGGCAAAAAAAAAAATAAAATAAAAAGAGAGGTTGAGAGTCACTGATAAAGGCTCAGAGAATAAATGAAAGGAGTTTTAGAAGCTCTGTTAGCCAACTTCCCAGTCATTGCAGGACTTCTGGTTACAACAGCTGGTTGAACGCTTCCACCCCTGGAAGCTCACCAATTCATACAGGACCACCGCATACATCCTTATAAGCAAGAGTCTCAAAACAAAATAAATAAACAAAAGAAACATGGGGAGGTAGCTGCTTTCTAACTGAGCTTTTGCTTTTCTCTAACATTGTATGAACCTTCAGTAGCACCTACAGAAATCTAAAAATAGAGTTTGGAATCTATTTTGGCAGAAAATATGTTCATCGTTACACCACCAATCCCTGTGCTGAGTTAATCTCATTAATTTTTATATCGAAAGATGATATATATTTTGAAGAGATGAGCTCAGTGGCTTAAATGACATGAATCTTGGAACTTTCAAAAATAGATATTCCTTCTGAAATTTAGTTCTTAAATGGAAGTGAACCGACAACTTAAAGTTGTGTACAGGAGAAAATCTGTTTAAATCTATAGAAGAAAACGTCTTAAACATAACCAATAGGAAGACTGGATTCTGAGTCCTGTGGCAGAAAGGAATCTTGCAGAATTCTAAAACAAGGGACTTTCTGACCTTAGACATTTCTCTTTCTATTGGCTAGTTTCTGCGGTGATTTTGTGCTAGGTGTCAATTTAGCTCGGGGGGGGGGGGGGGACCCATTCCCAGAATTCCCTTCTTTAGATGGTTCTTCATTAGAGTTTGCCATCAGGGAAATTTGTGTGAGATGTGGAAGGCATGGGAAGGAGCCGCGTTACTAGGCTCAGAGGGTAGTGTGGTGCAACAGGTGCTGTGTGCTGATCTCCCAGCTCACCTTGGTGATGTCAGATGGCAGTCAGGCTATGGTCCTTTGCCTCCCACCAGATCCTCATCTCCAGCTTCTGGTCGGTGCATGAATAGTGTTCCAGTGAATAGTGCCGGCTCCTTCTACGGTTCTTCCAGGTCACTGGGGCTGGAGGAGGTAGAAGTCCAACACAGGCTCTGGTTTGTCTTGCAGGTTCCGGTTAGTTCCTGCTCAGCTCCATTTCACATTCAGCTTTTCTTCCCAATTGCCAGCTCTGCTCATCTACAATGATTTCAGGCCCAACATCAGATACAAAAACAACTGCTTTCCATAGACTTCTTTAAGAGCTCCCACAATTGTGAGAGGTTTAAAACTTATAGTAAATAATCATAACTGTTCTGTTTTCCAAACTGATGTGGCTTACAGTAAGTCTTTTGCATTCAGAATATGTACTTGGCTATAAATATTTTTTTTGTGCATGGCTTCCTTTTTGAAAAAATTATGATAGTCTCAAATGCAACAGTACTGATTTATTAAGCGTAAGTGTGTCATTTTATTTAACCTTGTTTTTGAGAAAGGGATTTGGAATATGCCCCTTTTCCCAATTCTCATAACTAGTGGGCTGGGAAATTAGGAGTCTGGTCCATAATTAGAGAAAAACTAACAAACTAATTTGAATTTTGGTGCAATTACTAGAGCTCAAAACCCCCTGAGCTAACTAGCTGTTTTTTCAAAATATGTTTGAACGTGACACTTAGAAAGTTCTATCTACTCATGGAAAAACATGGACATTGAAAATTTGAAAACAACTTCAGTTAATAAATTTTTATCATAATGTATGTGCATTGAAAATAGATAAATACTGGCATGAGTGCTTACACCTCTTTAAGACTTCTTAATATAAAGATTTTATGGTCTTTAAAATCAAGCATGTATCTTTTCATCCTTACATCTTCCCATAGTGGCACACAGGTAAGTGCTCATTAAACATCAATTGAACTAAGTAAAGAACACATTTTAGCTTCCTGTTTTTTACAAAAGAGAAAAGAACAGCAGTGTGTGAGCAAACAACCACAACCAACTGATGCTTTTCTCACTATTGTATGGAAACTCCAGCAGGAAACCACAGCTATATCCTTTTTACTGTGATAGAAAATTCTTATGAATTACTGGCAAGCACAAAACAGCCCTATTAACATTATATAGATGATTGTGACAATTCCTACTCACCACACTCAGTTGCTTTACAAAATTTTTGCAGTTTCTAAAGGACAAATACCCAAGAAAAAATATTGATAATAATAGTTATACTTAAACTATGTGTGGGCAGTAAATTACATTAAAAAACAATAAAGGCCACCATTGAAATTTAATTCCTCCCTCAATGTAATTGATTTTTAAAACCCAGTAAGTGTTAAAATTCCCCATTTGACTCAGACCTGTTAAAACTTCTAATTGACCCACAGAGGCATTACCCTCTACTCAAAAATAATGACAGTGCTAATTTCCACCCCTTTGTATTCAAAATGGCCCAAGAATTAGACCTTTCTAGCTATGAAACATAGAAACCCCTTTGTCCATTCTCATGTATAATCCCATTCAGGATTTGTACCACACATGTTTTAAATTTGTAATATAAGCCTCAAATGTGTTTTTATCAATGGAGGGACTTTCCATTGGAGATCTCTTAGTCATTCAGGAAGTACAAAGAAAAGATTATGGCAGAAGTCCAGGGCTTTCAAGGGCTTTAGCTTCAATGGGAATCACAGACATTTATACTCATTTAACACAGAAGTCAGAGGTACAAAACTCTGTAATCTTTCCTGCGTGCTCATCTTTCTTGGTATATAAGTTCAACATAGGATACTTGTGTCATGAGTACATGTGTGAATGAATGAATGAATGCATAAATGCTTGGCAGTGATGAAGATAAAGGGGAGATAAGAAGGTTCTCTCTAAGTTAGGAAAAGGCTGAAGAGACCTAAAATTCAGAAAACAGGCCTAAGGTAGAAGGAATAAAATGCAGAACTGTTAAAAAAATTTTTGACCATTAGAGCTAGAATTGATCTTAGGGATTTTTGGACTAACCCTCTCATGTCTAGAGGAGCTGAGGTGCCTAGGGCAATGACACAGTTTCCTGTGCCACTTCCACAGGTTGTGACATTGTGTACCTCTTTCATGATTTTTGCCTAATGTGCTTCTTATCTAAACCGTCTCTTAATATTTTTCACTCAATTGACTGTAACTGGTGTACTAGTTAAAAATGCTAGCCTTGTCTTAAGAAATGTTATCTGTAAAATTAGGTTTGATGTGCCAATAATATGTTTTTCATAAAGAATATTTTTAAGTAGACTTTTAAATTTATACTTATGTTATATTAAAATAAAATCATAACTATTCAAATAAAAAATAAATCTATATACTAAAATCATCTCACAGATCACTGATGAGAATCTCCTACATTTTTTAAAAGCAGTGAATTCTACTGTACCACCCCCTGGAACAAAGAGTTCAGATTGTGGAACAAGACAAAGAGGTAAAGACATTCCAGATTGAGGACAAGAATCCAGTAATAAGACTAGTGCCCTAGCCGGTTTGGCTCAGTGGATAAAGCGTTGACCTGGGACTGAAGACTCCTGGGTTTGATTCTGGTCAAGGGCACATGCCCAGGTTGTGGGCTAAATAAGACTAGTGCTTGTTTTGTCATTTTTTTTTTTACTAGAATAAAAGCAATTGTTTATCAAGGAACTAAAAAAAATCAAGGCAGAAGTCATGGCTTTAAAAACAATTAGTGGATTTTCATTTTCAAAATGGACAGAGCTATGTATATTCATCCTCCTGCCAAGTTTATTCATCTCCTACCATTAGTTTATTAGAAACCAGTTTTAAGAAGGAATGTGATTCAAATGGGCCTCCTGCACATAGATTACCTTTTATTTAGCCTTCAATTTGTAACTAGGACACTTAGCTGCAGCTATAATAAGGAATTGCTCAACTTTCATAAGTAAATGAAAGTCTATGATTAAAACATCAATCCGGAAACACTAGTTCTATAAATAGTTTCTAAGTCCAAAGTCCACAGGCTAAACACAGACCCATGCCTGGTTTTTCTTGTTATATGTGTGTATGCACATGTGTAAGTGCACGTGACTTTGTGATATGTAGTTGGTGGTTTTTTTTGAGAAATATTTTTTGCTGAACATATGTGTCATCTGGATATTTTTGATAAAAAGTTTTGTTTTCAATTGCACTGCCTATACAATGATTTATAAAGTTTTAACCTAAATTGTCCTTGAACTTACCCTGTTTGTTTAAAAAATGGCATCACTGAATTAGAAACTTTTACATTTGGTTTTTAAGCAACACCATATGAAATCCAAGATAGGATAAATCTTGGATTTATAAAATCCTGCCTATTCCTCATATTTTGACCTAGTGTTCATAGTATTAATTTAAAATTTTTATTTATTGATTCATTTTGAGAACGAGCAAGAGAGAGAAAGAGAGAGAGAGAGAGAGAAACATTGATTTTTTGTTCCACTTATTTATGCATTCATTGGTTGATTCTTGTATGTGCACTGACTGGGGATCAAACCCACAACCGTGGTGTACAGGGTCTATGCTCTAACCTACTCAGCCAGGGCTTCATAGCACTCATTTTAATAATATTGTAGTATAGTACAATGGTGAAGCGTGGCCTTTAAAGTCGGCCAACTCTGAATTTGCACAGCTTAGACAATTACTATGTTTGGGACGTTGGCCAACTTATTTAATGTGCTTCCTAATCTCTAATATGGGGAAAATAATAACACAAACCACACAGATTTGTTAACAGGGACATGGCTTGTTTTAGTATGAAGCCATTGGAAGAGAAGTCTAAAGAATGAAGTTTTTGAAAGTGGAGATCATTAACTCTGCAGATCTACAGTCTCTCCATTACCCATTTCCTTACAATGGAAAGCAGATGGATAAAGAGAAATGTATTCGAGTTCTCTCATGCCCTAGAACCCGGATGGCAAAGTGCCATGATTGGCTCCTTTATTTCTTGTTCCCCCTTTATCTGACTTTACTTCCTCTTTCTCCATGTGTTTGGTTGTCATTTGTTCATTCCTACTCATCATTAGCTCTGTTATTTCCTCATATTTCCCCCGTGCTGCTACCTTCTGGGCAGCAAGGCAAGGAAATTCACCTCTGAGTTGGAATAAATACACAGAAGTGATGAGAACCACCTTAGAAAAGATAGCATGAGGGCTTGGAATATTTCTCCGAGCAGCTATGAAAACAGCTGGGTATTTTCAGTACTTTGAAATGGGTACATTACTCAATAATGATCTGATTCAAGATTATCTCTCAAGGTTGGAGGTGATCCCTGAGAATCTAAGCATAATCTGAAAGTAGCCTTTAAACCATCTTCAAATACGCTAGTGTGTCACAAACCATATATGAGCAATGATAAAGTACTAATGACAAATGATTTATTAAGAGTAATTTAGAGCATTTTCTCTATCAATTATGCTAATCTTGATCATAAAGTAATTTCTATAATAACGTTTTCATTCCCCTCACTTGCACTGGTAGATGTTTTCCTTGAATAGAAAAAGGAGGAGGGATGAAGTTACACTGAGGATCTGGTATACGCCTGGGATGGAAATTTCTTATAGTAAATAGATCAACCCATCAGCAGAAAGTTAGAAGATTTTTTAATCTGAAACCTGCCCCATCTTGGTCATTTTTACTACCCTGTGTTTCTTAGTTGTTTTTAGCAGAATAAAGTAGAAAATACATGTGTCCATGTTTTTATTTCAATGACACGAAGGAAGTGTAGTGTGGGAAAGGCTCCTCTCATTTTCAAGGTGGCCTGGCTGAGAAGGAAGGAACCCAGGTGTGGCGAGCAGGTGGTGAAGCTGTGAAGAGAAACTGAAATTACGCTGAACTGCTTGAGCCTACAGGAAGGAAGAGAAAGGTACAGGGGTGCCTGGTTGGGACGGAGAGAGGAGTCTGGTGCTTAGGCCGCCAGGGGAATTCCCAAGGATTCAGTAAAGGAGCCCACTCCATCACTCCATGCTGTGCCGTATTTATTCATAAGTACACCTAGTACTGTGTCTGGGAATTACTGGAGAGTTCAGACTCTCAAATAATTTTTTTCAACTTTAAGTCCCTGGCACATAGTACAGAGTCTAAACATATACAGGGTGGGGCAAAAGTAGGTTTACAGTTGTTCATCTGAAAAATAATACAATAATCTATACTAATAAAAGGGTAATATGCTAATTAGACCTGAT